AAATATAAATATTATATTGATTTATAGTACTAGTTTTATGAATAGTTGATTTAATATTATATTTAATATTTAATAAATTTATTAAATATAAATTTTCATTATAACTAAAATTATTAGTACATAATTTTAAACCTTTACCTATTTTACCTCCATCATCCATAATTCAAATAGCTAATGCTAAAGGTGTTAAATATTTATCTATATTATAAGGTAATATTTTTATATTATTACCTTTAAGATCAGATATATATCAAACATTATAAATATCGTTAAATTGAGTATAAGTTCAAGTACTAAATCTTATAATATGTCTTATTTTACCTTTTTTACCCAATCTAGTTTGTAATTTAGGTATATTAGTATTACAATAACCTAAATTAGCTACAAGACTATGTAAATATAATAAATAATTTTTATGACTATCTTCTTGATAAAATAATATTCTTGTACCTTTACCACCTTTACGTTTTTCAGCACTAGCATCTCCTAGTAATGAACCATATACTATAGATAATATTTCTTCATTTAATGGTTCATTAAAATTAGTAACATCTAAACGTTTATTACATATTTTATATATAACCTCCTTTGTATAAGGAGGTAACGTAGTTATATCTGTATATTTATAACGTTGTAATAAACATCTCCTATATAAGTATTTAAAGAATAATATATATAAAATATAACATATATATATATATATTATTAAATATGAGGCATTTACTATACCTCAGTGGGACATTTGCCCGTAGACCAGACAGTAACCCATAAAAGCAGTAGCAATAGTTAAAACTAAAATAATAACACCTACTGATCATAAAATAATTCTAGGTGATTTGTAACTTCCATAATACATAGCTTTAGCTATGTGTAAATACATACAGATAAAGAAGAATGAAGCTCCATTTGCATGTATATATCTTATTAATCAACCAGCATTAACATCTCTCATGATGTGCTCAACAGCATTAAACGCTAATTCTATATTAGAACTATAATGCATAGCAAGGAACAATCCTGAGGCTATTTGAATTACTAAACATAATCCTAATAATGATCCTAAGTTTCATCAATAGTTTAATGATGATGGTTGAGGACTATCTATTAGATAGCTATTTGCTAATGATAAATATAAATTCGATTTTCTTAATGTCATTTATTTTTATAATATTTTTATTTCTTTACTTTATTTGTTTTTTTTATTTTTTTTTAGATCTTACCTTATATTTTTAGATATATAAAGGTACCCCTCACTAAGGGAGGGAGGTAAAATAGGATAAACCCATAAATGAGGTGTGGGGGTGTATATAAAAGGAATAAATAAAAGTATATATTAAATTGTAAATATAATATAAAAATATATATAACTTTAAAAAGAATAACTCATTATATATTATTATATAAAAAAAAACAAATAAGGGTTATTAACTTTGGAAAGTATATATTAAAGATGAAGCATTTCATAAGAAATCGATAGAGAAGTTAGGGAAAATACCTAAGAAGATAGTAGGTATAATAAGAGCTAACATAAGTATAGTTTCTCTATAAGTACAATCAGCAGTAAGATTAATATAAGGAGATTTAATACCACCAGTTAATCTATTAGTTAATTTCATTTGATAACAAGCTGATAATAAAACAGAGAAAGCAGCTAAAGAACCTAAGATAGGAGATTTACCTATAGCACCAGTAAATGATAAGAATTCACCTATAAAGTTTAAAGATAAAGGAGTACCAATATTAGCAAAACTTAATAAAATAAAGTATATAGATAAGATAGGCATATAAGATATTAAACCTTGGAAATAATAAACTAATCTATTATGATATCTATCGTATAAAATACCACCTACAATAATAAATAAAGCAGGAGAAACTAAACCATGAGCTAAAGATAATAATAAACTACCAGTTATACCTGTTAAAGTATTAGAGAATATACCTAAAATACAAACAGCCATATGACTTATAGAACTATAAGCAATAATAACTTTTAAATCAGTTTGTCTTAAAGTTATTAAAGAAACATAAAATATAGTTATTAAAGATATAACATAAACTAAAGGAGTATAAATAAGAGTAGCATCTGATAAAGTAGGTATTAATAATCTTATAATAGCATATATAGCTAATTTTAATATAATACCTGCTAATAAGATAGAACCTGCTAAAGGTGATTCTGAATGTACTACTGGTAATCATGTATGAACAGGTGCTAAAGGTGTTTTAACAGCTATACCTATAGAAATAGCTAAAAATAATATACATTGTAAATCTAAAGATAAAGTTAATAAACTAGCTGATTGATAATCAGTATTATCTAATAATATTTCATATATAGCTATAGCTAATAACATAAATAATGAAGAAAATAATGTATATATTAAAACATAATCAGCTGCTTTATCTTTATTAGCTGCACCATATAAACCTATTATTATAAATAATGGTATTAATGAAGCTTCAAAATATATATAGAACGATGTCATATCTTGACACATAAAATTAATTAATAATATAATACCTAAATTTAATACTAATTCAAAATATAATGAACTACGTATATTATTTCAATTAGATATTATTGATAAAGGTAATAAATATATTGTTAATAATATTAAAACATCTGCTATACCATCTGTTGTATAATATACATTTATTTCTTCTCAATCATATAAAGTAGGTATTATTATTAATATACTCGCTACTAAATATATATGTTTAGATAAGGTATTAACTAATCTACCTGTTACTGATGTAAATGCTGATATTATTATATAAATTAATGTCATTTTATTATAAGTTTATATCTTTTTATTAAGATATTATTTTATTATTATTATAATTTCTATGATTAAAGGGATTTGAACCCTTATATATTATATTATATAGTAAGACCTAAACCTACCGCGTCTACCTATTCCGCCATAATCATTTATCGGATGCAACGCGATTCGAACACGTGGATCTTTCAATCTTGATAGCTCAAATATCACACCTTAAACCTCTCAGTCATACATCCTTACCTTTATTTTTTCTTATTCTTTATAATATTTATCATATATCCTTTTATTAGGAAGGGGGGAGAAAAATAACTTATTAAGGAATAAACCGTTGGGTTATTTAACCAGAGATGAATGTCCTACCCCCCCCCTTCTTTAGGGTATTAGGGGCATCACATAAGAATAAATTAACATTTTCCAATGGGGGGGGAAAAAATTATAATACCCTAAAATCTTCCATTTTATGGGTGGGGTTTTTTTTATTTGTTTTTATTATATAATTTATTATTAATAGTAGATAATATTTGACCTATACCATTATCACCAAGAACTTTAAGGAAACCATTATCGATAAATTTATTAAGTAAACCAGAGAAAGATAAAGCATATCTAGTAATAGAATTAATAAATAGATCAACAGCTAAACGGTTAGATAAAAATTTTAATAAAGTAGAATTATTTAATTTATAATTAAATTCATAATAATAAACTAATAATAAAGATAAAGATAGACCTAAGATTAAAGGTAATAATTTAATAATAGAACTTAAAGTATATTCAGTTTCTATGAAATTATTATCTTGAGGTAATCCAAAGGATAAGAAAGGAATAATATTATCTTTAAAGAAACCTAAATAAATAGAGAAGAATAATAGAACAATCATAGGCATAATCATTTTAATATTTTCATCTAAATTAAAGTAAGTAAATTTATTACCACGAGGTGTATTAAAGAAAGTTAAATAAGCTACTCTAGTAGAATATATAGCTGTTAAAGTAGCAGAAGCTACAGATATATAATAAATAGGATTACTAATAGAATCATATAAACCAAATACTGATTCTATTATTATATCTTTAGAATAATAACCACTTAAACCTGGTATAGCCATTAATGATAATGAAGCTATTAACATGGCTGTATATGAAAATGGTAAATAATCTCTAAATCCTCCATATTTACGCATATCTTGTGTCTCAGATATACATGCATGTATTATAGATCCTGCTGACATAAATAATAATGCTTTAAAGAATGCATGACAATATAAATGATATATTGATAAATCATACGCACTGATACCTATAGCTATCATCATCATACCTAATTGCTTATATCGTCTTTGCGATATTGGACCATTTCTTTATTAATTTATCTTTATATTAAATTTATATATATAATAAAAAATCCTTCCCCAAAATATAATTTTGGGTATAGAAAAGAGGTGATCAAACCGATAGGTTTAATTATATTTATCTCATTTATCAAGATATTTTATTCAATTATTAAATTTATTTATATCATGATTATTTCTATAAGGATATAGAATATAAAATTGTTTAATTAAATTAATTCTATTCATTTTCATAGATCTTAAAGGATATTTATTAAAATAATTATCTATTAAATTAAATAATTCACTTTTTCTATATACAATATATTTAAATGCTTCTATTTTAGGACTTAATATATCTATTCTACCACTATATATTTTTATTAATGGTTCTAATATATATTTATTCTTTTGTGTTATACTTATAAATATTTGTCCACTTTTAATATTTAAATATACGGATCCATCACTATCTATTATACCACTTAATCAACCATTATTAAATGTTAATGGTTTAGGATATAATAATTCTATTCCATATTTTATACATAATTTATTCATTTGTAACATTCTTGATGGATTCCTTATATTTCCATTTATATCATTTATTAATTTAATTAAACCCTTTTTATGACTTAATTGATATCTTAATGCATTAGCATTAGCTATCTTCCTTATAGAACCTCCATATTTATTTTTAATAATTTTTAATATTCTCTCATCTCTTATATCTATTGTTATCTGGAAACGAGCTGATCCTTGTTTAGATAAATTAAAATATCCATCTCCATCTATTAAACCTGCTAATCACTCTGCAAATCCTTTATCATAATTATCACCTTCCTTTATATTTATAGGTGAAGTATTTGATATTACATTTTTTAATAATTTATCCCCTTCCAGGTTTAAATTATTTTTTAATGATTTCTTCGCTAGAGATGTATCATCCCCTTTATTAATTTTCCCAATAAAATATGATATATATTTCTCTTTACTTATAGGGTAAGGCATTAAATAATCGGGGTAAATAAGTTGGATATATAATTTAGAATATATAAAAGATAAGTAAATTAATATCAAACGTATGGCCTCTGAGATTCCTACTAACTGTCTGTTTATAATATCTATTCATTTTACTGACTTATATTTTATATAGTACTGTCTTATAAATGAATACTCCCATATAAAAGATTTATATATTCTTTTACCTAAGAGAAATGAATTAAAATAGATATTATAAAAGTATTTCATATATAAAATACGAGCTTTGGTTATCTGCGAATTTATATAATATAATATATGAGATAATAACATATAAATATATACTTCAACGCATATAGTTTGATGCCTGATATATAACCCTCCCAAAAGGGGGGGTCATATATCTTGAGCCAATAGACTCATAGTTGATAAAGCGATAACTCTTTTAATATCATTAGTAACAGTAGCTATTAAACCACTTACTATAGTTGTTATACCTCCTAAATATAATATTATTATTAATACTGATGGTGTATATTCTAATATATATCATGATCTTACTAATACATAAACTCCACTACATACCATAGTAGCTGCATGTAATAATGAACTTACTGGTGTTGGCATTAATTAATATTTAATTCGAGAATATTGCCCACGGGCTATATCACCCCCACCCCTAAAAAGGAGGGGGTAATATTTATAAATATCTTTCCCATTAAATTATTTCATTTATTTACATAAATGTTTGGACTTTCTTATTTATATTTTATTTCCCTTTATTTGCTTTTTTTATAAAATTTTTAAGTAATATTTCATTATTTAAAAAAGTTTTATTTTTATAATTATTATATACTCATAATCAATTTTTATATGTTATATATTTTTTTGTTATTAATTTATAATGATTCAAGTATTTTATTATTTTTATTAATTTTAAATAATTTACTGTCATATTCATTGTATTACATTTATTTAATTTATAAGTATAACCACCTAATAATATAGCTAATTCTTGCATTATATTATCTTCATTTTTTTGTGATAAAATATATCGTATACTTATATTATTATTAATATAACTATGTGTAAAACAACCTTCTGCATCAGTAAAACCTACTAATCAAGCATTATCTAAATTTATTTTATTCTTTTTATTTATTACTTTTATATTTGTTTTGTATGTTTCATTAAATCTATCTACAAATAATTTAAATTTATTATTATATTTATTTAAATGTAAATTTCCATTAAATATATTAATAATTTTTAATAAACCTTCTTTATCTCTAACTCTATAACAATGAGTTTTTCTATTTTTATCTTGTATAGATACTTTTCCAAAACCTAAATTTTTCTTTATATAATATAAAACTTGTATATCAGCACTTGACTGAGTAATTTTAAATTCTAAATAATTATTATAGTTATTAATAATAAATGAACCATCTCCTTCGGTAAATCCTATTAATCAATAATAAAAATCCTTTTGATTATAATTTTCATCTAATATATCCCCCGGAGGGTATATATTATAACTTTCATATAAGAGATTATTATCTTTAGAGGAGGATAATTTATTATTTAAAGAATGCTCCCCATAAACCAAAGATGGGATATAGAGTAGATGGGTATAATATTTAAACGGGTTATAAAATATAATTTCACATAAAGTCTCTAAAGATCTATAATACCTTTTAGATATCATATTTCTTAAGGATTGTCCTTTATATTTAAATATATATAATTTAGATTTTACCAATAAAATATGTACCCAAATAGGGTATATATAATAAATGTATTTATTGGACCAAATTATAAAAGGATATTCCTTTATATAGTGAAATTTAAAGAGGGCCTTAACACAACCCTCCATAGCTAATAATAATCAAGAATGGAAACCAAATTGAGCACTTTTAGCACAAGCTGCTAAGAATAATAATGTAGCTATAATATTTAATATAAATATTTGTATATTAGGTACTAATAATTCTATAGCATAAAAGTTTAAAGTATAAAAAGTATTAAGCATAATAGCCATAGCTATAATAAAGAAAGTATCACCTAAACGGTTAAGTAATATAGCTGATAAAGCTGATTTCATAGCATCTATACGTGTACTTCAGAAAGATATTAATAAATAAGATATAACACCAACAAATTCTCAACCTATAAACATCATTAAATAATTATCACTAACTACTAATACAGACATAAATACTGCAAATATACTTAATATAATTAAAAAACGATTAATATTAGGATCATGAGACATATATTCTATAGCATATCATAATACACATATAGTTACTATTCCTACAGGAACCATAACAGACATAGATAATGAATCTAATATTATACTATAATCTATTTGTAAATCACCTAATGTTATTCATGAACCTAATCTTATTATTATAGGCTCTTCATGTATAAATCATAATCAGTTCATTATAATATATTAGATACTTTCCCTCTTAATCTATAGTATGATACTAATAAACTTAATCCTATAGCTGATTCTGCTCCTGCTAATATTATTATATATAATGCATATATTGTTGATTCTATATCATTATATTGTCCTCCTATATATATTATTTTAACTGTTATTGTTAATAATAATATCTCTATAGCTATTAATAATGTTATTATATTATTTTGACTTATATAAAACGTTATTAATGTTGTTAATACCGCTATCATTTTATTTTTATTTTATTTTGTTTATTTACTTATCTTATTCCTTCCCTTTTCTTATTATAAATAATTATCCCTTTATATCTTTTTATTCTTATAAAAACTCTCTATTACAAAAATAAGATATATAGGGGTTACATATACCTATATATATGGTATAACTCTTTTATATATTAAGGTATAATCCTTAGGGTTATAGGAAGAGTGTGTAAGTATAACTCCATTACCTTTTATGGGGGGGAGTTAATACTGTAAGAATAAATGACCACTTTTAGGGTGGGTATTAGAGAGTTATATATTTAAAAGTATATTTACCTTATAAATAAGGGAGGGATATTATAAATTATATAATTTATGTAATAAAGGTTTTACAATAGGTTTAAAACGTCTTTCAAGGTCTAAAGCACCTAAACTTATTTCATAAATGAAAGCGATAACTAAAGATAATAAGAAGATAAGTAAGATAGATAAACCGTAGATACCGTTAGAATAAGCACTAACAACGAAAGGTAAAATAGAAGATATTTCTAAATCAAAAGGTAAGAAAAGGATAGCAACTAAAATGAAAGCTACACTGAAAGCTGATCTAGATTGTAGATAAGAAGTGAAACCACATTCAAAAGGACCATTTTTCTCATTATAAGAATTTTGTATAGAAATTAAATAATTTAAACCGATAAGAGCTACACCTACAACAGGAGCTAAATATAAATAAAATGTAAACATTTACGCAGTAATTAAATATAACCCTTCTAATAGTGATGGTAATATCACAAAGAAATTAATAACTAATACAGTACATAAAGAAATAATATAAGCTAATGATGGATTAATATAATTAATAACAGATAAATTATTACTATTATAACTAGTCATTAAAACTTTAATAATATTAGCATAATAATAAGTAGCAAATACACTACAAATAACTAATACAATAGATTCTAATATATAATTATCTTGTAAAGCAGCTGATAATACATAATATTTAGATCAGAAACCTGCTAAAGGAGGTATTCCTATTAGTGAGAATAATGCTATTATTAAACAAAATGCTAATGTCATATTAGGTAATTTTAATTGATGTATATATACTAATGGTGATCATGTTGATACTGGTTTATTTATATATTGACTAGCACCTAATATACCTAAAAATAATATTAAATGAGTTAATACATATTGTATAATATATACATAAAATGATAAATCAAAAGTTATTATAGTTAATAATATATAACCAAAATTTAATATACCACTATATGCTAATATAGTTTTTATATTAACTTGATATAATGGTTTATAAGCACCTATTATTAATGATATATAAAAGAATATTATTAATATATGATGATTAAATAAATTAGAATTTATAAATATAAATGATATAATAGATATTTTAGCTACTAAACTTATATAAGCTGTTATATAAGTAGGTGAATAATTATAAACAGCTATACTTCAACGATGTAATGGTGCTATACCCATTTTAAATAATAAAGCTATTAATAATATATTAAAGTAATCATAATTATATTCTATTAAATTATATTCATTTAATAATGATATATCTGTTAAATTAGTAGTTCCTGTTAAATTATATATGAAATAAGAAGCTAATAATATTATAGCAGATGCTATACCTCCCATTAAGAAATATAATAATGATGCTCTTGAAGCATTATATGATCTGTTATGTAAACCTGTTATTAAATATAATGAATAACTTTGTAATTCTATTATTATATATAATGGTATTAAATCATTTACTAATGGAAATAATATTAAACCTATTAAATTAGCTATAATTAATAAATTTAATGATAGTGATTTTAAATCATATCTATTATTATTTGCACTATATATTAATAAACCTATTACTAATATAAATGTTAATATTGATAATGGTACATTATAACTTGTTATATTAAATCAATTATTATATAAAGTTATTCCTGGTGTTATAGATATTATATTAATAGATGTTATTCATATTATTAATGAAAATAATATACTAATAATACCTAATCTATTTAATATAATATTATATATATCTTTATTGATATTAATATTGCCGGAGGCAATATCACTCCCGGAAGGAGTAATATTACCAGAAGTAGATTCTACATTATATGTAGATATTGTTGATAAAACTAAAAATATTAAAAATGTTATAAATAACATATTTATAAAAAACATATTTATATATATATATATATATAAATAAATAGCATAGTAAGAATCGAACTTACACAATATTATCCGTAATAATATACACTACCTTTATGTTATATGCTAGAAATATACGGATAGCCAGTGAATTGAACACTGAGAGTCAAAGACTACTACATAGCAAGTAGCTTGGCTTACCAATGCCGAACTATCCTTACGCCTTACATCAGATTTGAACTGACATCTATCATAGCGACACTATGATGCTTTACCGATTAAGCTACCAAGGCTTTTCTCTTTATCCATATTTATATCCTAACCCTTCTTATAATATATAAAATAGGTCATATGGTTGGGAGTTAATATCTGAGTTGGCATGATTCGAACATACATAGGCCTAGCTCAAATCTAGGTGACTTGCCGGTTAGTCTACAACTCACATATAATATAACCCTCTCCCTAAGAAGGGGGTCATGTAGTAACCCCCCCCCACAAAGGGGGGATCATGAAGTAATAAGGATAGATCTCTCTACCTATCCCTTATTATATATAAGGGGGGGGGGGATTATATATTAGTCTAGTAAGAATTGAACTTACATCTATTGATTATCAATCAATCTCTCTACCATTGAGATATAGACTAAGAAAGATAAAAAAGAAGGGAATAAACCCTTATGGGGGGTAAATATGTAAGAATAAATAAAATTAAAGTGTATAAAACCCGATCAGGTTCCCCTAACCGAACCGTATTTCAACTTATGACAAGTCATATAGAAACCAACCTATGGGTAAGATTAGTAAATACTTCCTGCCATTGATGAGTGGTTAGTACGAAGTAGATAAATATTTTCACCGCGACACTCTCGTTCGCGATTACTAGCAATTCCTTTTTCATGTTTACGAGTTTCAGTAAACAATTCATCAATAGTTATTATAAATAACTTATTCTTAATATTTAAATTTATTTAATTTTATAATATATAAATATAATTGTAATAAGTTAGTAACACGCCTGTAGCCCATCATATAAGGGTCATCTTGATTAGTCTTCGTCCCCACTTCACCTTATTACTCAATAAAGATTAACTATACTATATAAAATATATAGATAGTAAGGGTTTACGTTCATTAAATAAATAAATAAGACACCTCACGGCATGAACTGACGACAACGATGTAACGCCTGTCATAATATAAAAAAAATATTATGATTCAAATGATGGTAAGATTTTAGGAGGATTATCCAATTAAACAACATGTTCCACTGCTTTTGGCTACAACCGTCTAATGTCTTGATTTTCACCCTTGCGAGCGTACTTATCTGGCGGAATACTATTAGCATTTTGCTTCTCTAATATTGTACTCATAGTTCACAGCTATGACTAATTGGGTATCGAATCCATTTTGCTACCATAGCTTTCATCCCTCAACGTCAATAAATTTTAGTGATCTCTTTGCAGTCATAATGTTTTCGTAGTATTTCATCTCTCAAACTTTACTTCTTATCACCTATTTATTTATTCTATCATTCATTTATTTTATATATAAATGTATATCGTTCTACAGATCCTTTAAGCCATTAGTGATCAATGCTTGCCCTTTATGTATAACCGCAGCTGCTGGCACATATATTTGTCAGGACTTATTCTTATAATCTATCATTATTAAATTATATATAGAAGTTTATAGATACTTTTATTATTATTTTTATCCTTACACCTATAGTGTAAGTTATTTTAATATCCTTCTCGTAGATAGCTTGATCAGTCGTTAGACCATTGTCAAATATTCCTCACTGCTGCTCCTAATAGGAGTACCTCTTTAGGTATGTGACTGTTGTGACGTTAATCATCAGTTTTAGTTCATGGCTAGATTTTACTCTATTACCTACATCCATATTATATATTTTTATATACAATTATACTCACCTGTACGCATAAATATATATATATATATTTATACTTGCATGTGTTAAGCCTCTACATAGCATTCGATCTGAACCAACATCATGTTCTTTATTATTTTATATTTTATTTTTATCTTTTATCTTTAAGATTAGTTTATATATTTTTATATATATAGTTGAATTACTCAGAATTGAACTGAGATACATCCATTATGAGTGGACTGCTCTACCATTGAGCTATAATTCACTAAATTCCTTCCACTCCTTTATTGAAGTATTCTTTATTCTGTGCAGCAGATAGATTCGAACTACCACTCTTAAGGTCATGAGCCTTATATGTTACCTTTACATTATACTGCTTGCCTTATTCCTCTAAACCCCTCCCTTTGTATACAATAAGAAGTTTGATATATCCCATAGGGAATATATTAACTTATATTTATATATATAACTCTCCTCTATAGAGAGGGTAAAGTTATTAGTAAAAATATAAATACCTCCATGAAGGGGGTGGAATCCCTCCATAGGTGGGGTATCTCTTATTAAATGATTATATATATAATAAAATAGTTATTAAGATTTTAAGATAGGTAATTCTGAGAAAGTATGATATTCAGCAGGTCTAGATAATATTAATTCTAGGTCTGAATCTCTAACATCTCTAGTTAAATTAGCTTCTAAGAAATCTGGTGTAACTTGTACTTCTGGTCTTTCATTTTCACCATTTTCTAATTGTACTAATACACTTTTTAATCCAACTATAACTGCTATAACAGATATAGCTGAACCTATACTAGCTACATAATTTCAACCTATAAATGCATCAGGATATTGAGGTATACGACGAGGCATTCCATTTAGCTTTTATATATATATCTATATATATATATATTGGATTCAATCTTTATAATATACACCTTAAAAGTGTATTATATTTCACATAGAATCTCTGAAAATATTTAGTATATAAATATTCTGCTGATTGTCCTTATTTATATATTATTATAACTAATACAAATAGTATACATAGATATTTATTTATATAGTAAATATATAATAATAAAGGATATTCCAGCAATTAGTGAAATTTTAATTAAGCCTAAATATTGACCTAAGAAATGCATTGGTAAGAAAATTATATTTACTGATATAAATATTAATCAGAAGTGTATTTCAGCTCATACTTTATTATAGTTTAATCCAAACATTGATGGACCTCAGTAGTAGAAACCTCCTACAAAACTAAATAAAGCACCCATTGATAATACGTAGTGGAAATGCTATTGTGGACTATCTCTTCTTACGTAATTTAGATACAAATGGTACTTTATATCATTTAGGATTTTCATATTGTATTCAATTTAATATAAATTCTGAATATATTAAATATTCTTCTGAATCATATGGATATTTACTATATTTTCTAATATCCATAAAATTTATAATTTTAGTTATTCTATAAAATTTCATATCACAATATAATCTATTTAATAAAAAATATTCATATAAATAAATCATACTATTTACTGTTTGATATTTAAAAGCTATAGATGAAAATTGTTGATGTTTTCTTAAATAAATACTAGGTTTAATATTAGGTATAACATTATCTAAATTTAATTTTTTAGAATATTCATTTAATTTTAATTCTAAATTACATTCTATTCTATTTGATGGAAAATTAAATACTATTGATCCATCTGTATCTATTAAACCTGAAAAATAAGGATCATTTCTTTCAATATTATAATTAGCTTCTTTAAATTCTATATTTAAAGATTCACAAGCTTTTTTATAATTATCTACTTTAATTCTTATTAACCCATTTAACATTTTTATAATATATGTCATATCTGATATATTAGATACTATTCATTTAGAATAACTATTATTTTTATATCTATATATTCTACCTAAATGTAACTTATTTAATATAGTCATTAATAATCTAATATCTCTATTATGTAATTTAATTTCTATTGTTTTAAGTTTATTTATACCATTAATATTTCTAACTTGAAAATAACCATCTCCATCCATAACACCTGCAAATCAATTTATAAATTTATTATTATTTTTTATAAATAAATCTAAATCTACTCTTGAAGGGATGGGTTTATTATCAATTGCATGTTTATTATCCTTAGAAATATTTGTACTTTCATCTAAATTATTAGATTGACGTTTAGTCTCTGAGAATTCTTTAATGTTTTCTGCGGATTGTATATTCGTTTGTTTATATATTTTTAACAAATCTAATTTAGTATTATTTTGACTTATATTATTAAATATAATCTTATTAACCTTATAAACCTTTGAAGGGTTAATTTTATTTCCTATTAATATAGTTTTATATTTATTTTCATCTATTTGTAAAAGATATCATATTAATATAATCAAACCATCCGGGTTGATCATCCCCTTCGCTAGGGTTAATATAAGTAAATATAAATTAAGTAATATAGATCCCCGCATATTGTCAATTTCAAAATAATTATTTAAAGTAATAATATAATTATTAAGGGCCATTATTAATTTTTGACCTACTACGTAATAAGTGATTTTATTATACTTTTAACTATAAAATAAAATGGACTATAATTTTATTAAATATATATATATATATATACTTAACACACAACGTTTAGTCTCTACATACTATATATATATAAATATGACCCCCCCCCCAAAAAGGGGGGGTCATATTGCCGAAGGCAATATTAATATCAATAAAGATATAGATATCGCCGAAGGCAATATTATTCCGTTACCACTCCCTTTGTGGGTGGGTTACCCTAATAGGTTAAATCGCTCCACTCAAGGTGGTAAGTCTATCTTTATATATATACGTACACGGTATTAATAAGCATACCCGTAGTATGATTCCATTATTAAATCAATATACTTATCTTCACCGTTAGCTATAATATAACTATATATTTATAACCAATATATATTATCTTTTTAATATAATATTATATATATTATCTTTTTAATATGATATATATATTTTTGAAGTGTTAAAACAAGACACTTAATATATTTAATATATCCCTCTTAAAGGAGGTATATAATATATTCCCTTCGGGATATATCCCCCCCCCCCTATGGGGGGAAATATATTGCCCCAAGGGCGATATATAGGCATTAGGCCCATATATTAAATATATATAAATTGTATCATGGAATGCTACATCTATTGAAGCATTAGATAACATAACTCCTGTAACTCCTCCAACAGTAAATAAGAATAAGAAAGCTAAAGCAAATAACATTGGTATAGCTAATCTTACTTCTCCTCCATATATTGTTGCTAATCATGAGAAGATTTTTATACCTGTTGGTACGGCAATTACCATTGTTGCACTTGTAAAGTAAGCTCTAGAATCAATATCTAAACCTACAACGTACATGTGATGCTAAAATATTTAACTCACCTTATAACCCATATCCAAAAGAGTATGAGGGGCAAGTTATTATATTTTTTGGACTATATCTTATACTTATGACCCTTTTATTTAAATTGAATCATAAGTATCACCACGTATAGTCTCTGAAGATCCTTTTATTTCTTTAAAAGAGATAAAATCCCTTAGGGGATGTATTAAGTATCTAACTGATAGAGTATTTCTATTTATATTTATATTATATAAAGTCTTTATAAAATATATTCCCTTCGGGGATATATCCCCCCCCCCTATGGGGGGGAAATATATTAACTTATACATATAACGCATTAATAGATATCATCTTTCTCAGTATCTTGTGGTGTTTATTTATTTAAACTCACGTTTAAAGGAAGCCATCTTTTGACTTCATACTAAGAAACCTAAGAATCCGATAGATCCCATGGCGTATAACATACCAACCTCTCCGAAAATAGGTTTTTTACTATATGTTGATACGATATGTGATATAACACCAAATCCAGGTATAATAATTATATATCAATTAACTTTATAACACTACATTATTATATAGGTTATTTCTCTCCTATAAGACATCCCTTTGCAGGGATATTTATATAAGGAAAACAAAAACTTGATTATATTTTTGTTGGGATTATATCTTATACTTTATTCCTATTATATTGATGGTTATGATATATATCCCCCCCCTCCGTAGGATGGGGACATTTTATTTTTTATATTTTTAATTTTATTAATACCTTCTAAAGTTAAATGTTCTTTATTTTGTATTAATAAATATGCTTTTCTTATATATAAATAATTTAAATATTTATATGATATTAAAGGATATTTATCTAAATAATTTATAACATTTTTAAATGTATTAAAAGATGTTGTTTCAAAATAGTATGTTATATTATATTTAGCCTCTCCGGGTTGATCAACCTCCCTTCGGGTTTTATTAACCTTCTCCATATAATGGGGTTGTGGAGTCATATGTTTACGTGTACCTATATAACAACCAGATAATAATTCATTTTTATTAAGGTTGGTTAATTTATCATAAGAGATATTCATATCTTTTGATATTTTATTTATAGATAGAAATAATTTAATATTTTCTAATATATGTTTATCTCTTTGAGTTATTTGTAATTTAAGTCTAACTTCTTCTTTATTTCTATTTTTACGATTAATTATTTTTATTTGTAATGAACCATCAGCATCTATAAATCCTGATAATCAATGATTATAAAAATCATTTATATTACCTAATTTAAATTTATCATATTTAAAATAAAATTTACTCTTAACTTGATTATTATTTAATAATAAATAATTAACAACTTGATTATATTTATTATTTGTTTTTAATTTACCATTTATTAATTCTAATATATATAATAAACCATCACTATGTGAAACAACATATTTTATAGCATTCTTATTTTTTATTAAAGATATTGTACCATAACCTATTTGATCTTTTAATCAATAAGCTGCTGATTTATCTTTAATATCATAAACTATTGTTAAATATCCTTTTTGATTACTAAAATTACCATCTCCATCTATTAAACCTGCTAAATAATAACCTAATTGATCTTTATTTAATGGTTTATATTTAAAAGGTACATTAATCGATATATTATTTATATGTAAATATCTTCTACTTATATTATAACATAAATCCCTACTTTGAAGGGGGTTATTTATAGATAGATAATCCTTTCGATAACCATCATATTTATTTAATGTTAATTTATTAGAGAATAAAGTACTATTGCGTATAATCTCTAAAGATCCTATATATTTACATATATATCTATATTTTATATTTATATATGATATATATTTATATATAGTTTCTTGCTGATTGACTCATATATATAATATTGTTATATAATATATGATTATCTTTTTAATATGATATATATCCCCCTCCGGGATATATATGATTATAAAGTATATATAACAAAAACCTCTAATAGATTTTATATATATATATATTATATTATTATATATTTTATAGTTCATTTCAGCATATAGCAATATTAAGAGGCATAATTTAACCCCCACCATAGGGGGGATTGAACTCCCCCTTACGGGGGATTTTACCTCTGGATGTCCAAAGAATCCTACTCATAATATATATATATATTTCACTTATTATATATATATCTTTATATTATATATATATCCTCCCTTATTGGAAGATATTATTATTTTAATATAAACTTATATATATTTAATATATAAAGAGTTTCGACTGTACATTAAGCAATATATATATACATTAATTAATATATAAATACACCACCCACTGATGAAGCAGTCTGTAGAGATTACTTACATAATCTACGGTCTCGATTTTAAGATATTATTAACCGTTACATCAGTATTGCTATTATATTTATTTATATAACATATATGACTCACTTGTAAGAATTTATCATATAACCCATAGGGTATATATTTATATATATTTATAATAACTAGAATTAAGATATATCTTATAAATATAATCACCCATTATATGAATGATACTATATATTTATATATGATATTTATTATTTAATGTCTTAAATAACCCTAAAGGTTATTCCTATATATTTCCTTCCTAAAGTTAGGATAGATTATTATTAACATCTGCATTAAATAATTTCATAGTTTTAACTAAATCTTATCCTTTTTTCCTATATTTTTTAAGGGATATTACCTATATTTGGAATATAATTATTATATTTTATTAACTTTTTTACTTCCCCCCCATTCGAGGGGGTTCACGAAGTAATAAGATAAGATTATTTCTAGTATTTTCATTTAAATGTTCTTTGTTAGATATTAAATCTAATAAATATATCTCATTTAATATAACTATTATATTTAATAGTTTTTAGTTTATATAAATTAAAATAAGCTCTTAAAGCTAAACAATTATTTAAACCATTAATATGTAATTCTCAAGTATCATTAGCTGAATGAGGTACAATACTACCTAAAGGTTTATCAGTATTAGATAAAGAATTAAAAATGTTTAAAATATCATTTAAAATATATTTATTAACTGTTCATTTTATAGTTAATATTAATCTAACTCTAAAAGCTTTAGTATTATTATTTAATATAGAACAAGTAAAACAACCTTCAGCATCTATAAAACCTAATAATCATTCATTATCTAATGTTATTATAACTAATCTATTCCCTTCGGGGATATATCCCCCCCCATAGGGGGGGAATCTATTTATAGGTTCTATATATACTACATTTAAATAAATTTTATTATGTTTAGGTTTATATTTAAGTATTATTTCATTAAGTTTATTAATAAAATTAATAAATTTTATATGTCTTGATGGTATAACCATTAAATAATAAACATATTAAATATAAATGAGATATATTTCTTATAACAAACCTATAAGTTTTATTCTCTTTAGATTGTATAATAATATAACCCATATTTAAATTATTTTTAATATAATATAATATTTCTATATCATTTATAGATTGAGTTATAATAAAAAAGAAATCATTATCTTTAGTAACAATAAAAGAACCATCTCCTTCAGTAAAACCTATTAAAAAATTATTATCAGGTAAATTATTATTAGGATTAATTCTTTTATATTATTTATAAAATTGATTAAAATTAGGTTTAATCATAGTTACTGTATAATCCATAGAATGTATTTTATCTGAAGATATATAACCCTTTATAAAAGAATTATATATTAAGTATATAATAAAAAAGGTTAATAAAAATATAAGATAACCCTTTGATTTTATTAAGAAAAGATGTTCGTATAGGATAGGGTCTCCACCGGCACCTACTTCGTAGAAACCTGTATTAAAGTTACGGTCTAATAATAATAAAGTAACACCAGCTGTTAAAACAGGTAATGATAATAATAATAATATAGCTGTAAATAATATAGCTCATACGAATAAAGGCATATTAATTAAATGTAAACCTATAGTACGCATATTAAATGCTGTAACAATAAAGTTAATAGCACCTAATAAACTTGATATAGTTGTTAAGTGTAAAGCAAATATAGCTAAATCTACACTAGGTCCTGAATGTGACCCTATACCTGATAAAGGTGGATAACTATTTTTATATTTAAACACCCCCTTTTATATATTGATAGGTTGGGGAGTGTTTATAATTTGGACTATATCTTAAACATATATTTATATAATTTATGTTCTACCATATTTAGTCTCTGATATACATATTATCTTATAAGATATCTATATATATGCATTTTAACCTATAATTATAAAATTTATAACTGAACTATATATTAAGAATAAGTATTTTATAATAGTCAACCTATCGACCAATGATGGTAGGTTAAGGTATTTAATGCAATTAATGGTATTTTAATAAACAGCTTATCTCAAACTGTTCAACCAGTACCGGCACCTTGCTCGATTAATACTGAAGCAATAATTAATACTAATGCAGGTGGTAAACATCAAAAACTAATATTATTTAATCTGGCAAAAGCCATGTCTACAGCTCCTATCATTATAGGTAAAAAATAATTACCAAAAGCACCTATTAACACAGGCATTATGAATAAAAATATCATTGCTATAGCATGTCCTGTAACTAAAACGTTAAATACCTGATTATTACCGTGTAAAAATTGAGGATTTGCTCCTGATAATTCCATTCTAATGATAACTGACATTCCTGTCCCTACCATAGATGATATTAATCCGTATCCTAAATATAATAATGCTATATCTTTATGAGATGTACTAAACAATCAACGTGTTGCTCAACTCATTTGTTTCATTATTTTATTTATTTATTATTCTTATTATTTATTTAATATGTTTAATCCACCCAATCCTTCATAAAAGAATGGGTGTTGGTTTTATATAAATCATCCTGAAATAATAATACACCCGCCAGGGGCATATCACCCACCTTTATTATTATAAACCCCTTCGTAATAAAGGATAATTAAGTAATGGTGGGTTATTTATTTAATAAACCCCTCCCCATTAAGGGTAAGGTTTATTTTATTACACAAAGATGACTTACTATCTTGATAACCCTCCTTTGGTGGGTTATCCTTATGTATATCCACCCCCCAAAAAGGGAAATAAATATATGTTATTATATGTTTTTTATACTTACCTTATAAAATATAACCCACCTTTTTTTTGAAGGGGGGGGGGGAGGTTTATATACGAAGGGAATGCTTTCTGAAGGGTATCCCGTAGGAATAAATAAATATATATAAGATATTAAATGACACCTCCAAAGGAGATATGATAAAACCTTTGCGGGGGGGGAATTATATCTTATAAATGTGGGGGCTAATATAATTTAACCCACCATAGGAGGGATTGATCTCCCCTTTCGGGGGAATTAACCCTTTGAGAGTTGAAATATACACCCCTTTTTGAGGGGCTATATATTAAACAGCATATAATAATAAGAATGATATCATTAAGCAAAATAGTCCACAAGCTTCTGCTAAGGCGAAACCTAAAATAGCTTGAGGGAATAATGTAGCACGTAATGAAGGGTTACGTGATGTACCGTTAATTAAAGCTACGAATACTAAAGCGATTCCTATAGCTGCTCCTCCTAATCCTAATGTAGCGATTGAAGCTCCGATGTATTTGGCTGCTAATGCTAATTGCATTGCAACATTTATATATTGGCCTTATATTAATCATTGTCCCCTTATATTTATCTACTATTTTTATAATCCTTCAAAGGTGATGACCCCCCGAAGGGTTTATATTTATATGAATAATTTAATCCTTTATATATTTATTTATATAAAGTATTTATCTACATAAAGTAGATTTATAGGGTTATATTAAAAGGTATAATATAAATATATATAAAAGGTATTCTCCCCTACCCCCCCAAAAATGGGGGGGGTCGGAGATAAATTAAAAAACTCGTAAGGAGAATTTTTGATTTAAAGATTAATGTAAATCTAGAGCATCTTTAATATAACCTGATAATAATATAGTAAATACATAACCTTGTATCATAGATATAGCGAATTCTAATACTACAATAGCAATAACACCTGCCATAGGTATAAATCCACCTATAAATCCTAATATAGAAGTACCCATTAAGTTAAATATTAATGAACCTAATATTAACATTAATAAGTGTCCTGATAATATGTTAGCTGATAAACGTAAACCTAAAGATATAGCTCTTGAACTATAAGATAAAGTTTCTATTAAAACTAATACTGGTACTAAAGGTAAAGGAGTACCACTAGGAACGAATAAAGCGAAGAAACCTCATCCATGTTTACTTAAACCTATTAATGTTACACCTATTCATAATGATAAACTTAATGAAACTATAGCAACTATTTGAGCTGATATAGCAAATGAATAAGGTATCATTGATAATAAGTTAGCTACTACTATAAAGTTAAATAAAGTAAATATTAAAGGGAAGTAATAACCTCCTTTAACACCTATTTGACTTTTAACCATATTTAATATAGTATCATATATAGCTAATACTGCTACACCTCATCTATTTCATCCTAAATATGCATTATTTAATAATTTAGTTATACCAAATATTATTGCTACTACTAATATTAAATATATTACATAATTTGTTAATGATAATGTTAATATATTATTTAATGTAAATAATGGTTTGATCTCAAATTGATCTAATGGTGATAATATCATTTTATTATCTTTTATTTTATTACCTACTATTTATTTCCTGGTTTAATATAATATTTATTATCTTTTTAAGATGATATATATAATATATATTATATGATATATATCATATATATTTATTTAATAAATATATCTTTATATTTATATACAACCTCCTCTTTTATTGATGAGAGGGTTTTATATAGGTATATTAACCGGCTAATTTAACGATTAATATTCTAGCAATTAATAATCTTAATATATTAGGTAATATTATAGTTGATATAACATATAATAATAATCCTAAAGCTAAGATACCGAATGTTAGTAAATTTAAGAAATAAAATGGAACTAATTGTGGCATTTAATTTATATTTAATATTTTACGATAATATATATACTTTTTTAATCATATTTCCCTATACCCTAATATATAATAAGGGGGGGGACTTATATTATTTAAGTATATATAAAATATATATAATCTATCAGATTGGAGGGATTTGAACCCCCATACCCCTACACCCAATGTAGGTACGTTACCTATTACGCAACAATCTGTTATAATACACCGCGTTTTATTAATATACCCTACTGGGATATAACCTCCTTTTTACCATACCCAATAATTGGTTATGGTTTATTATAAGAGAGTCATATTTATTTATATTTATATTAACATCTATATTTTTATAATAATTTATCAAAGTATAATAATAATACCCCCCGTAGGGGGGTATCTAATCGAGCTTAATTAAGACAAAGAAGGAATCGAACCTTAGGATAACGGTTTGCAGTCGTAACACTCACCATGAGTACATTGTCCTTACCTTTATTATTACTATGTAACCCCTACTATAGAATAGTTCTAGTAAAGGATAACCCATAAATGGGTTATGATAACATAGGAAGGTTATAGATAATAATACAATATAGGTATAAACCCTTGGAGGTTTATAAGGAAGGGTAATATATACCGAATAATATATTGCTCCGTAGGGGATATATAGGCATTAGGCCCATATATTACACCGTTACCCTTCCAATGGTGGGGTTACACCGTAAGGAGATATATAGGATGTTATAATATGACAAGCGTGACTCGAACACGCAATATAGCATTGGAAGTGCCAAAGTTTACCAGTTAGCCTATTGTCACTTATATAAAACATCTATTTTTTGTAGTAACACCCCCCCTTTGTGGGGGGTTTACAGAGTAATAACATAAAGATGGATTAACCACAACGGGAATTGAACCCGTATATTTACTGTGAAGTAGTAACATCATACCTTTAGATCATGTAGTCATATATTATATATATATAAATATAAAAGGTAAATGTTGTATTGAGGAATCGAACCCCATTTCTTCCGATTACAAAACGGACGCTTGACCTATTTAGCTTATACAACATATATATATAACTCCACCCACCAAGAGGTGGGTGGGTCACGAAGTAATACTTAAGGTTGGATTTGAACCAACATTTGTTGCATATGAGGCAACAGTTCTTACCTTTAAACTACTCAAGTTGGATAAAAACTGAGATTCGAACTCAGGTATATCGAACCACAATCGATTGTTCTACCTCTGAACTATTTCTATCTTATCCCTAACCCATAACCTTTAAAAAAGGTATGTGGGAGTATTTGGGGGGAATATGAGGAGGGACTGAATCGAACAGTCGAAGCCTATGGCACTAAAGTTACAATTTAGCTCTAATTACCAACATTAGAATCCTCCCCTATATATCCTATATATCACCCTATTAAGGGAGGGATTAAATAAGATAGATATATAACTCAAGGGTAATATCTCCTTGGATATAATATATATATATATTATACGGATAGTAGGACTCGAACCTACACGGCTTGCGCCTGGACATTTTAAGTGTCCTATGTCTACCATTCCATCATAACCGTTTATTTGTTACCTTTATCTTTTCTATATTACCTATATAACCTATATACACCTAAAAATATAAATATAAATATATATATATTATTAAAAACCCCCACCATACGGTGAGAAGGTTTTATAAATAGGGTAGTAGATATATAAATATATAACCTTCGGGTTATATATTATAACTAACAATTTTTTAGAAGAGAAGGATAATATAAATATAAATATGATATAAATCCTTCGGGGGGGGGGGTCATATTAAATGAATAGATAAGCATCTAAGTAATAAAGAAGAGCAGGGATAAAGATAGCAAGAGCGAAAAGAAGAGGTAAGAAAACAACTCAACACATAGCGATTAATTTATCATATCTAACTCTAGGAAGAGCGGCTCTAACTCAGATATAAGTAAAGGCAAAAACATTAGTTTTTAAACCAAGAATAATACCAGTACCACCACCGAAGAATAAGATAGAAGTTAAAGTAGAAAGGAATAAAATAGAAGCATATTCAGATAAGAAGAATAAAACAAAGATAGAAGAAGAATATTCGGTCATATGACCAGAAACTAATTCAGATTCAGCTTCAACATTATCAAAAGGAGGTCTAGCACATTCAGCAACACAACCTATAAATCAAATAATAGATAAAGGTAATAAAGGTATAAATATTCAAATACATTCTTGTAATTCAACATATCTAGAAAGATTCATAGAACCAGCTAATAAAATACATAATAAAACAATAGTAGTTAAAACTAATTCATAACTAATTAATTGAGCAGTAGAACGAATAGAACCTAATAAAGAATATTTACTATTAGCAGATCAACCAGCTAATAAAGTACCAAATACACCAACACTACTTATAGCTAAAGTTAATATAAAACCATAATTATGATCAGATATAGTAATACCTGGACCAAAAGGAATAACACTTCAACATAATAGAGCAGATACTAAAGATATAATAGGACTAATTAATAAAATTATTTTATCTGCATGAGTAGGTAAGATTATTTCTTTTAATAATAATTTAGCTGCATCAGCAATAGCCATTAATAAACCATAATAACCTACAGCATTAGGTCCAACTCTACGTTGCATATAACCTAATGTTTTACGTTCTGCTACTGTTAAAAATGCTACACTTAATAATACTGATAAAAACATTATTAATAATTCTATAAATTGTAACATTATTTAGTTATTGATATAGCCCCTATAACAGATAATATTAATATTAATCCAGTTATTACTGTTAATACAGCATATTCAGTATATAATTGATTACCTACTGTTACTAATTCTGATGTTACTAATTCATCTATTTTCATTATTATTCCATATGTTTCATATGTTATATCTAACGGTATTAAACATATCGTTATAATTGTTATAATTAATGGTGATACATTATTTTGTTTTGTATATTCTATTTTTAATAATGATAATATAAATAAGAATAATATAGCTATAGCACCTACATATATTAATATATATAATATACCCATAAGTACAAAACCTTGATTATATAAACATAATGCTGTACTTATAAATAATATTATTAAAAATAATATACTTTGTACCGGTGTTAATAATCCTATAGCTAATATACTACTTATACCACTTATAATATTTAATATATTCATATATTTATTTTATAATTTTATTTAATTTTATTATATAATCATTTATATAACCCCCCCTATATAGAAGTTATATTTTTTATTTATACCATCTTATTATAGGTATGAATTGAACCCCCCCTTCGTGGGGTTTGATATCTCCTCCCGGGGAAATTATATGATTATATATAACAAGTTTATTCATACTAATACGTTCATGTCTAGAATTGAACTAGAATCGATGTATTAACAGTACACTGCTTTACCTTTAAGCTACATAAACATATAAACTAACTCTCTTATATAACCCCTCTCATAAAAGGGAGAGTATATATGACTCCATAGGGTTTATATACACTCTCTCAAAAAGGGGGAGGGTTATATTATTACTTTGAGATACCCTCCGAAAGAGGAGGGGTTACCTATTTAATATTTAACTTACCTTTAAATAAGATAAATATTATTCATTTTCACCTAATCATTCTATGAAATCGTTAATAGATACACATTCTAATTTTATAGGCATTAAAGCGTGGTTAACACCACATAATTCACTACATTGACCATAATAAACACCAGTTCTTTGAATTAAAGCACTAACTTGGTTAAGACGACCAGGAGTAGCATCTAATTTTATACCTAATGAAGGTATAGTGAAACAATGTATAACATCGTTAGCAGTTACTAAGAATCTTATATGAGTATCAACAGGTACAACAATAGAAGTATCAGTATCTAATAATCTTAATTGACCTTCTTCTAACATGTCATCAGGTATAATATATGATTCATATTCAATAGTTTCACCTGTTTCTGATACAAAATCTGAATATTCATATTTTCAATATCATTGTAAACCTATAACTTTAATAGTCATAGCTGGTGTTAAAACTTCATCACATAAATATAATAATATAAAACTAGGGAAAGCTATTAATAATAATATTATAGCTGGGAATATAGTTCATACTATTTCTAATGTTTGTCCATGTCTTATATATTTATATGCAAATTTATTATTTTTAAAATCTTTAATAATAACAAATAATATATATGATACTAAACCTAATATTAAAGATAAATAGAACATTATATGGTCATATAATTCTTGTATACCTTCTTGGTTAGGTGTTGCTGCATCTTGTAAACGCATAGATCAAGGTGTAGGTACGTCTAATCAAATCATTTTTATATTTTTTATATTTTACCCCTCAAGGTTTTATATTTCATTAATTTATGGAATCAATCGGAATTGAACCGATATTATTCGCATGCAAAGCGAATGATTTACCTATTAATCTATAATCCCTTACTTTTTTATCTCTTATAAATTATAAGGGTAGATAAAAAAAAATATATACCCTCCGGGGGATATATAGCCTTTGGGCTACCCACCCCCTTTGTGGGTGGGTAACGGAGTAATATATTGTAAGGTATATGAAATAATAAATTATAAATATATATAAGATATATAAGTATAAAAACATATTAGTATAATATGATATATTAACTTATTCAATGGGCTTAATATTTGATAGGCTATCAATATTTATCCTCAATTTCTTAGCTTTAGTGATAAATATATATAAAAATATCCACTTAACCATAGGAAACAACCTCGTTATCCTTTCGTACAATCGAGATTATGAATAAGAAAAAAACCCATAGATGATAAAATCATTACTGACTCACGTCGTAATTAACCCATCTCAAGTAACTCCTTAAAGGACGAACAGTCCTACCCTTCCCAGTAACTACATCCGGGAGGAAGAGTTTAGACGACATCGAGGTGGCAAACACCGCTGACGATAGCAACTCTATTGCGGTATTACCCTGTTATCCCTAGCGTAACTTTAATCCGTTATCGACATCCATATCTATTGAATATGCCTGTTCACTACACTCTACGTAAGTACTAATTTCACTTGTTAGTGTTATTATCATCGCACAATTATGTTGTTATCCTTTAATAAGTTTATTAACTTTCTATTTTCTTAATAGTAAAATTGTACGTAGCTATATATACTATTTTAAGATTAAATCTTTATAATAATTATTAATTTATAGACACATCAGATGCTTTCGCTGATGTCGACGCCCCATCGAAACTAACCACTTTACACTGTCACTATTAATATGTTTTATATATTTATTAAAACATATATATATATAATAAATATATATATAAATAGATAAGATTCTTAAATATTAATGTAGGTATCTCATTTAATTTATAAATAAATATAACCTAGTATACTGATAAAAATATAAGAAGAAGATCAATATAAAGATATAGTAAAGCTGCATAGGGTCTTTTTGTCAATCTACGGGTACACGGCATCTTCACCGCGATTGCTATTTCACTGGGTTTGTTTTGGATACAGTTGTCGCATCGTTTATTCATTCATGCAGGACACCAATTATGCGTCAATGAATTTCGCTACCTTCGGATCCTCAAAATAAGACCGCCGTTTATTCGCTTTTTCAATATCTTCCTTTAGTTAATATCTTATTAAGCAAACACCGGGCAGATTTCACCTACTATACTGATTATTTCTAATTTGCAGTAGGCTGTGTTTTTGGTAAACAGTCGCACGACTTTAAGCTTAATCACTTTTATTTGCCGAGTTCATTCAAAACAATTATCCCATTCTCCTTTATCATACCTGTGTCGGTCTACAGTACGGTTCTTCTCTTTTCTTGTTCTCTCTCCCATCAATTTATCTTTTATAATTTCATCTTAGGGACCGTTAGTTTATTGTTAAACCTTATGATTCTAGAGGATTGTCTTTTACTATCTTTCGTTACTCAAGCCAGCATTCTCTTTAGAATTTTATATATCTTTTTTATATATTTTTTCATTCTATATTCTGCTACCTTATAATTTATATATATAAAATATATATATATTATCTTTATTATTATGTAATATATTTAGACCCGTATATTGTTTCAATTAATTATTTCTAATCGGAGCATTGTTACATGTTCATTTTTAGGTGATTATTGTCAAACCCACTATCCGATTGTCTAATCTATAAATATATATATATATCTTTAACCCTCCATATGGAGGGTTAAAGTTAATTGATTTTGTTCACTTAATATATTTTTTGGGACATTTATTTAATAATCTAGGTTGTTTCCTTCTCGACCTACTACCTTATCGCAATAAGTCTGACTCCTTATCTTTATAATAATATTAAAGTGATATTATTAAATGGTTTCCTGTTTCCGAGGTTTAAATTTCTTAGTAAAATTTATTAAAATCCCCTAAGATATGAACCCCCCAAAGGGTTTTCATATTTATAATTTAAGTGCTGTACCAGGTAATATAAGATAAAGGCTATACTAAAATATATTTCGCAGAAAACCAGCTATCTGCAAACCAGATTTGTCTTTCACTACTACACACCTCTCTCTAGAGAATATTGCAACATCCACCTATACAGTCATAATTATATATATTTTTACATATATATATATTACACTTGGAGATATGTAGATCGTCTGCTTTCGGGCCTATATACATTAACTTATTTATGTTTTATATTTATTTATTTATTTTATAATTTTTTATTTCGCTAATATATATAACTTGCTGGCCCATTATACAAAAGGTACGCCATACTATGACTGCTCTCTATTATTCTATTTCACATATTTCCCTTACGGTACTTTCTCTTAATATTTATCTTTAGTCTTAGTAGTAGATACTACTTTATTCTCACCTCTTGATGATACTTTTAGACTTTAATACTTTCACTCACCGTTACTCATATTATCCCTGTTGGTTCCTTCTCAAGTTACTCAGATGTTTCATTCCACTTGTTTCCTTTTCTCATTTTCATGATTAGATCGGTCTTATTTAACCTTTTTATCTCTCTAAATATTAGTCCTATGTTCCTTAAAATAATATTTTTTTCATATACCTATTTTCAATATCTACCTTCTCTATTTCCACCCTTCTTTTAGCTTTTATATATCTTAACCCTTATCCACCAGAAAGGTATTACCCCCCCCCACAAAGGGATAACGGAATTAACCCCCTCAATAAGAGGGGGGCATTTAGTATGAATAAATATATAATAATATATATATATATAAATATATATATATATAAAGAGATGAAGGGTAAGATTAAGCACCTCATCAATAAACAATGATATAAATAAATAATCAGATAACATCTAAAACATGAAGATAAAGAATAGTAGTTTCAGTACCAACATGAGAAGTATTAGTAACATCATAGTTGTAAATACGTCAAGTACAAACAGTTAACATAATAACTAGCATAACCATATGAATACCATGTAAACCAGTTAAAGCGAAGAAAGTAGAACCATAAACACTATCAGCGATAGTAAATGTAGCGTATGAGTATTCTAAACCTTGGAATACAACAAATAAAACTATTAAGATAGTACTATAAAGGAAACCATATAAAGTATTTTTAAAGTTACCATTAATTAAAGCATGATGAGCATAAGTGATAGTAACACCAGAAGCTAATAAGATAATAGTATTTAATAAAGGTAATTCAGCAGCTGAGATAGCTTCTATACCTACAGGAGGTCATGTCATACCTATTTCAACTGAAGGGTTTAAAGCTGAATGTAAATAAGCTCAGAATAATGAAGCAAATATTAATATTTCACTTAATACAAATAATAAGAAACCTTGCATTAAACCTTTTTTAACAGCTAATGTATGATTACCTAAATAAGTACTTTCAGCTATTATATCTTTTAATCATAAAGTCATACTATATAATACTGTTATTATACTTATAAATATAAAAGTAGTATTTGGCATATATCCATGTGATGTTAATGCTATTGATAATCCTAAATCCATTAAACTAAATGATGTAAATATTGGTCAAGGTGATGGTCCTACTAAATGAAAAGGATGTAATTGTATATAACCTCTTATATTATTAGTCATATTATTATTATTATTAATTTATTTATATAATATTCTATTATATAGTCCTATAGGTCTATATATCCTCGTAAGGCATATATTAATATATAATAAATAAAACTTAAAGACTAATGAGAAAGAATGGATTCGAACCATTATGTTTTGCTTAAAAGGCAAATGTCTTACCCTTAGACGACTTTCTCAGCCCCCTATATACCCTTCTTATATCCTCTCCATTTAGTATATATATAATAAAGGGATAAAATGCCTTCGTTGAGAGTCGAACTCACATCAATCGCGCTTCAAGCGAATGCTTTAACCTATTAAGCTACAAAGGCTTTATTTATATATAACCTCCCCCCCTATATTCCATAGGAGGATATTTTACAAGAGTAAGTAGAATCGAACTACCACTACATGTGTTGAAGACACGTGCTCTACCATTGAGCTATACTCTTATATATAACCCTCCCGGGTAAAGGGTATATCAAAATATCAGCTCCATCTTTACTACTAAAACATTATGATTGCAAAGGGGAGTTTATTTATATAGGTTATATAGGAATTGAACCTATGGCTCAGATGTGTAAGATCCGTGATTTTACCACTAATCGAATAACCTTTATATGTTTTGCTGGGAATTGAACCCAGATAACCACTTTAGAAGAATGGAGTTTTACCCTTAAACTACAAAACATGCCCTACGGGGATATATACCTATTCTCTTCTTCTACCTTATTGACCTTATATATAACCCATGTTATCATGTAGTAATTAACTACTCCATAGGAGGGGTTATCTATCTAATAAAGGGGAGGAGTGAATATATATGAATAATTTAACTGTTATTAATCTTTATTCCTAATCTTTCATGTATAAATAATAAGATATATATTTAATAGATAATAACCAAAGGTATAAATATATATAAATTATTTATTACCGATATAGAATAAAATATTTTCTATAGTAGAGATAACAGGAACTAAGATTAAGTAATAACTAAAGTAGAAAACAGTAGCATATTGACCTAATTCAATAAATGGTACTTCTACATGTAATTGACCTAAATTCATTAATAAGAAGAAGTTAAATACAAATAAATAGAATGCAAATTTAGATAATATTTTAAAAGTATTACCTCTAACTACTGATCTATCAGTAACTGGTAATACTAATAATATTAATAAAGCTGCAAACATAGCAATAACTCCTCCTAATTTATCAGGTATAGATCTTAATATAGCATAGAAAGGTAATAGATCTTAAATCTTTAATGTATATATTGTATTACTTTATAAACCTAATTTATATAACATTTCCTTAATAAAATAAGGTTTAGTTAATGTTATTAAAGTATCCATAGATTCTTTAAAGATATAAATTATAGGTTTTTTATCCCTGTTATAATGAATAGAACATTTTAGATTAAATTTATCTTGTAAAGTAAACATTAATTTATTTACATCTGTATCAGAAAAACCATATACACTTAAATGTAAACCACTACCTTGTTTACTTCCGTCATCCATAATTCAAAAAGCTAAACCTCTAGGGGTTAATAATTTATATATGTTTTCTGGTACTACTTTTACATTTAATTTATAAAACATTTCTCTATATTCATTAAAACAAGGGAGTTGCATAGTTGTAAAAGAAATAGCATTATATCTTTTATGAGATCTATTATCTACTATAATTCTAGTTTGAAGTGAATAATCTTTTGTACAAAAATCTAAGAAAAAACTTAATACATAATCAAAATACTCTTTATGTTTAAACGCTGTTTGAGCATAAATTAATCTAGAATTTCCTGTAGATGATCTCTTCGCTATGTGAGCATCTCCAAGTAATATTCCTATTAATATTTCCTTTACTTCACCAGGTATTTTTATTAATCTTCTTTTTGAAGAGGATAATCTACTTATTCCCTTAGTAGAAGCAAATAATAATACAAAAGTAGAAATAAAATAAATAATAGAATCAATATATACATCTCATAATATAATCCCCATATAATAAGGTGGGGGGGTTTATATTACTATTATGTTTGGACTATATATTCAATTTATGAATCTCTCCCCCCCCCCTTTGAAGGGGGGGGGGAGAGATGGACATTTATTTAAATTGTCTCGCGTATAGTCTCTGAGGATCCTACTAAGATTAAATTTATTAGAGGTATGCCTCACCGTAGGTGGGGAGGGATCATCTAATTATAATCTTTTGGTTTCCTGCTGATAGTCTTAAATAATATAAAAGAGTTTTCAGCATATAGCAAGATTAAGTGGCATCTTTATAGGCATACCACTCTGGAACAATAGAAGCTGGAGTAACCATAGGGTTACCAGGAATATAGTTATCAGAATGACCTAATGTATTAGGAGAGAAGAATACAAATAAACTAAATATTAAAATGAATACAAATACTGTTATTAAATCTTTAAATATGAAATAAGGATGCATAGGTAATCTATCAATATTACCTGTTATACCTAATGGATTAGATGATCCATTTAAATGTAATGCCATTAAATGCATAACTACTAAAGCAGCTAATATAAATGGTAATAAGAAATGTAATGCAAAGAATCTTTGTATTGTTGGGTTAGATACACTAAATCCTCCTCAAATGACTTATAAAACCACCATTTTATATGTTATTTAAACATATTTACTTATAATTACTTATAAGATTAGACTATTTCATCATCCTTTATAAAAGGATGTAAGGCGCTCTTGGTTAAATATTGTTATATGTACTCATTAACTAGTCGTTAAACGTTTATATTCCTTATAATATATATTCCCCTCCTTATTATATGGGGGGGGGATATATCTCATCTTAAAAAGATAATATATATATTATTCATATAGAATATACTTCGCTATATATTGTCCTTAATTTATAAGGAGTTTTATATAATTCACCTTATTTTTCATTATATTTTACAATATAAGGCCGCTCATTTTATGTTTTTTAAATAACCATCCCCCTTTATATAATATATATAATGTTTATAATGTATATAAAGGTAAGTGGAAATTCCCCTTTCAATAGTGGGGTATTCTATATTTTTATATTTTTATATCTATTATTAATTTTTAAATCTCATAATCATTTATTATATTGTATATATTTATAACCTAATAATTTATAACTATCAAAAAATATAATAATCTTTTGTATATCTTTTACAGAAGATACACTTAATTGTATATATTTATTTTTATTAATACTTATACATTTATTTAAATTAAGTATTTTTTTTATACTATTAAATAAATTAAAATTATATTTTTGTTTTAATTGAAAACACATATCTTTATTATTTTTACTACAAAATGAACCTTCTGCCATTGTAAATCCAACTAATCAATAATTAAAATAATATAATTTATCAAAATCATATTTAATTATATTATTTTCAATATAATTATTAATTTTATCATTATTAATTATATCTTTATAAAATATTATATTATTTTCAAATATATATTTCATTAATAAATATTGTTTTTGTCTAGTTAGAGTTAAAAAATGTATATCATATTTATTTAATAAAGGTAATAATTTATTTTTAAGATCAGTTTTATTTATTTCTAATCTTGCTAACTTATTTCCTTTTTTAGGTGTTATACAATATACATTTCCTATATTTAATTCTGATTTAAAATAATTTAATAAATCTAATTCATTTTCATTTAAATTTATAACTAATGAGATATAAATATAATCTATTCCCTTCGGGGATATATCCCCCCCCATAGGGGGGGAATCTATTAACATCTTATTCTTATTTAACTTAGATTTTTTAGTTACTCTAATGTAACCATCTCCATCTATAAAACCTATGAATTTTAATAATAAATTTAATTTATCATCAGTTAATTTATCATCAGTTAATTTATCATTCTGATTATGTGAGGTATTAAATATAGATATAAATATAAAATATAATGGTGGAAGAGTTATAAACGGAACAATATCATTTCCTATAAATGGTATAGCAGATAATAAGTTAGTAATTACTGTTGCCAATATAATAATATAGTTTATCAGATATTATTAATATATAACCCCTATTATTTAAGGGTTATATGTATTACCCCCCTTTTTTAGGGGGGGGGGGATTTATATCTTATATGTTAAAATAAACTATACCATGTTCTTATTAAATATAAATCCTTAAAAGAATGTTTATATCTTTATAAATAGACAATATATATATTGTTTAATAAGTCTTGTGATATATATATTATAATATATATATATTATATTCGAGTGTACATGAAATATCTAAATAAGATACCTATTATTGAACCACTCTGTCGAGATAAAATATATTTATCTACGGTCTTGTTACTTAACATATAATTTTGACCTGTTAGCAATAATATTTATTAATAATAAACCCTATTATTTAAGGGTTACATATATATATATGTTATATAATTAATAACCTTTTTTTTTACTACCAATTTTTGTGTTATGGAAGGGTAATATAATATATTATATTATACTTAAGGATATATACTATAGGAGATATATATTTAAATATAAGAACCAAATTTATATTTCATACTAGGTATAATATATGGTTTAACTAATTGAACAAGAATAGGTAATGATTCTTTTCAAATATAAATATTATATTGATTTATAGTACTAGTTTTATGAATAGTTGATTTAATATTATATTTAATATTTAATAAATTTATTAAATATAAATTTTCATTATAACTAAAATTATTAGTACATAATTTCAAACCTTTACCTATTTTACCTCCATCATCCATAATTCAAATAGCTAATGCTTACTATTATTGGATAGTAGTAATGAATTGGTATATTGCCAAAAGCAATTTATCATTGTTCGTCATTCCAGGTTGGCTGGCCATCATTCAAAATATCCCGACTTACCTATACGGGATATTTTGAATATTTCTAAAACTAGTTAGTTATGCTTAAAACATCTGGACTTACCAATCTAGGATATTTTGAATATTTCCTCATTATATAAATCAGGCTTGATTCTTTTCTATATAAAATTTTATTCTAAGTCTGAGACTTATGGTGTTGAAGTATTGTGTCAGAAACATGCAGGATCGTATATGACACAATTATGTAATCTGTTGGTTGCAAACAAATAGCTGAGAGAATATTGTAGAAATCCTAAATTGAGTTATTTAAAATATCCCGTATAGGTGAGTCAGGATATTTTAAATGATAGCTAGTCACGT